TCCCCTGTGGCTCCTCTGGACGAGGGTCCCACATGGCTTGCAGACCTCTCCTGCCACCCACTGTTCCCTTCAGCAGTGTACTTCACAGTTTGCCTGCTCTGCTCTCCCCTCTGGCTCTGGTGCATTCTCTCACCCTCCTGTGCTTCTGACTGTACCCAGTGCTTGTATAAATAAATAAATAAATCTTTAAAAAAAAAAAAAAAAGAAAGAAATTAGGGGAACTAGACAACAGTACCAATATAAGGGAAAGACAAATATTAACTATCCTTTAAATTCCAGGATCACATTTTAATGTCACAAAAGATGGTGTGTAGTGTTTTCATATATATGGAAAATTAATAAAACTAGAGCATTAGAGCAGTACTGAATATAGTCAGACAGTGAATTTGTATAATTTCTCTGAATTTGAGGAATCGCTCAGGTAAATTTAAAATTCAGTACAAAATCATATAAAGTAACCATTAATAGAAGAACTAGACCATAAGATAATGAATTATAAACGTGTTAAATGACCCATAACAACAAGTGTTGGCCAGGATGTGGAGAAAAAGGAACCCACATACATTGTGGGTGGGAATGTAGACGGTCTATCCCCGGTGAGAAATTGTATGGAGGTTTCTGAAAACATTAAAAATAACCTACCATAGGATTCAGCAATTCCACTCCCAGGTATTTACCTGAAGCATGCAGAAAACATTAATTTGAAGGGATATATGCACTCCTATGTTCTTTGCAGCACTATTTACAATAACCAAGTTATGGAAACAACATAAGTGCTCAATGACAGATTATTAGATTAAGAAATGTGATCTGTATACACAATAGAATACTATTCAGTTATTAAAAAAGGTAAACTCTGGCCTTTTGCTGCCACATGCATGGAACTGTAGGGGATTTTGCTAAGCAAAAGAAACCAGAAGAACAAAGGCAAATACTGATGATCTCATTCATAATGGAATGTAGGAAATAAAGTAAAACATTAGACAAAAACAAACCAAAAACAAACCCTAGAAATCTGAATATAAAATTGAGGCTACCAGAGGGGCAGTGGCAGGCAGGATGGGAATGGAGAGTTGGAGAGCTAAATGTGCAGAAGGTCCAGTGGATTATGGGGGAGGATTGTGGTGTGGTAACATATGTGCAGAGGTGTGATCCTGTACCGCTCTGTATTTATTTATGTGTGTGTGTAAATACACATGCATACACATGCATATGTTTTGTTAGTCAAAGCCAGTAAGGATGGTAGGGTTTTCAAAGAGAATATCTTGCGAAATTGGATGCACCTTCTAAGGAGAGAATAATACATATTTGAGATACGATTATTAAAAGGATGAAACTTCTGACTAAAAATTAGCCACAAAAAATCATAAGCTAATTCTGTATTCAGCTTTCTAGAAGAAACTATTAATGGACGTTCCTTGAATTCCAAGAGTATCAGAACCCGAGAGCAAATGTCCAGGTCATCTCAAAGAAAACAATGGAATGAGGAAATTAAGAAGGTACATGTTTCCAGTTGCTGTAAGAGGTAGAACCATAGACGGTACAACCTTCTGTGAATCATGAAATTAAGTTTAGTTATTGTCTAGCTAAATGTCTGTCCTAGTTCATCTGGACTGCTATAATAAAATGCCATCTACTGAGTGGCTCATAAACAACACTTCAAAGAGGGTAGAAGTTTGAGCTCAGGGTCCTGGCATTATGGGGTGGTATTTCTTTTCTAGGTAACACACTGCTGACTTCTTGTTGTGTCAGTGTAGTTGTGTCCTTATATAAGGGGGCCAGAGAACTCTCTGGAGCCTTTTTTTTAATAAGGTATTAACCACATTCATGAAAGTTCCGCCTTCATGATTTAAGCAGCTCCTAAAAACTCCATCTCCTAATACCATCACCTTTGATGTTTAGGATTTCAACATAGGAATTTTGAGGGACAAAAACATTCAGACCATAACAACATCTCCCTAAATAGAGTCTGGTGAAGTGGGAGTAGAGGAGGGAGGGGGACCAGTGAAGCATGGTGAAAGATTATTGGGGCATTTATGATCAGCATGGTGTTAAGATAGGAATTTGTGGAGGTTTTCAACTCCACAAAGATGTAATGATGTAAACCAACTTTACCTTAGCGAAATAAGCCAGAATGAAAAGAAAAATACCGGATGGTCTCAATCATAGCAGGAATCTAGAAAACTTAAATAAGGGACCAGGAAAATGAATAACTATAAGAAAGTGAAAATCAAAATGAACAAACAACTATGAACCAGAGACACTCTCTGGGGGCTGGGGGGCGGGGAGGGGAGGGATTGTGGTCAAAATAAGGGAGTTGCAATTGTATGGGGAATATAAAAATAAAATTTATTAAAAAAAAAAAACCACAAATGTTTGAAAAAAAAGAATTCTGGCATACTAACAGTTTGAAAAGGGAAATATTTTTGGAAAGGTAGTCTTCCAGAGCAATCAGTGGTGTAGGCTATTGGGCTACTCAGTGAGTGAGGCTGACCTGAGTGTGTCATCATTGGTCATTTTTTTTTTTTTAAGATTTATTTACTTATACGAGAACCAGGGTACAGGCCAGATGCGCGGGAGGGTGAGAGGATTCACCAGAGACAGAGCAGGGAACAACAGGCAGACTGACGAAATAACACCGCTGAGGGTTGCAGCAGTGGAGACAGGAGAGGTCCACTGTGCCATGTGGGATTCTTGCCGGTCGGCTGGAATTGAGCCCGCACTGCAGAGGCTGTGGACAGCCCCACAGTGCGGCGCTCAACTGCCTGCGCCACCAGGGAGGCCCTGATCATATATTTTTTTTTAATAATTCTTATATATTTTTTGATGATTCTTAATTTTTTTTATTTTTTATTTTTAAATTTTATGTATTTTTTTAACATCATTTTTCATTTTTTGCACAATGTATGCATTTTCATCTTGGTTATAGTCCCCATACAATTCCCACCCCCTTTGTTTTGATCCTGCTCCTTCCCCCCACCCCCAACAGTGTTTCTCTGGTTTATAGGTGCTTGTTGATTTTTACTTTATTATAATAAGTCTTTTTCCTGATCCCTTAATTAGGTTTTCTAAATTCCTGCTATGAGTGAGACCATATGGTATTTTTCTTTTTCTTTCTGGCTTATTTCACTGTGCATGATCCCTTCGAGCTCCATCCATATTGCTGCAAATTGCATGAGTTTATCTTTTTTGATTGCTAAGTAATATTCCACTGGGTGTATGTACCACATCTTCTTGATCCAGTCATCTATTTTTGGGCATTTGGGTTGTTTCCATAGCTTAGCTATTGTAAATAGTGCTGCTATAAACATAGGGGTGCAGGTGCCCTTTTAAATCAATGTTTCTATGTCCTTTGGGTCAATACCTAGGAGTGGAATTGGTGGATCATGTGGAAGCTCCATCTTTAGCAGATTGAGGAATCTCCACACAGCCTTCCATAGTGGTTGGACCAGTTTGCACTCCCACCAGCAGTGCAGGAGAGTTCCTTTTTCTTCACATCCTCACATTGGCCATATTTTTAACTGCAAACTATTTTCTATCTTTCTAATATCCTGCAAGAGTTACACCCTTTGTAGAAAGGAAAAGAGAAAGAAGCAGTTATGCATCTCTCTTTGTATCAGTACATCTCTATATATTTCCCTTTAACAAACACGAAAACTGACTCCCTCATTTCCTTATCTTCTTTATGTTACCCCATCCCTGATTATCTGGTTTGTCTTAATTATTTCAGAATCCATTCACTCAGAAAGCATTTATTGAGAACTTTCATATGTAAATTACTCCATAGGTGGTAGGAATTCAAATATGAATAAAAGCATTTGTATTCTCAATAAGTGGGAATACATCAGAGGGCAGGTGTTGTTAATAAAATTTGGTATATGCAATTGTAGAGACAAGAGCTCTTTTATTTTCTGCTGGGTACTGTATTCCATTGTCATCTATTCCTGCTTTCCTTCAAACTCTTACAAGTCATTTCTCCTTAGGCTACACTAGTTATTATTATCTTTATTTAAATATTATAAAAATTAAGCATGGAAATTTTGCAACTTGCCAGTTAATGACTTGCTGAGCTAAGACTAGAATTTCCTGAGTCCTGCACCCAGAATCAAACTGTTCATATGATTATTTGCAGACTCACCAAGGTGATTTTAAAAATACAGGCAATAAGCTAATATGTAACAGTCATGATTAAAGAGATCAGTAAGGTACCCTTAATGGATGACATGTTTAAGTTTCTTATAATTCTTTCCAACAACTTCTGACCTATAGTTACAATTACTGATTTCTCCTGGGCTTTCTTGATTTTTAAACCCTAATACTTCAAAAGATCTGAGAAGGGCATAATAAAAAGCAATCCATCATGTTTGTGAGCAGAGATCTGTATTTCCCTGGGGCAAAGCAATGAACCTTCAAGTTTCAAAGAGTTTGGGATACCTATACTAAACATTCAGTTATCAGACATAAAGCTGAAACTGTCTGAAATATACATTTTCAGTCTTCATTCTATGTATGATTCCTCATCAGAAACAGTGCACCTCATCATAATCAGGTACAGTTTAGTTCTCCCCCCTGTCCTGGGACCTGAAAACACAATAAAAGTGATTGATCAATTAAAGCAATATAATCTATATGTGGAAGAAAGAGGAGACTGTATATTTAGTAAAGGCCATTTCTAATGTGCCTCTGGAAGCTATGCCAGCTCTCTAATGGATACCTTGGCCTCATGAAAACAGCAGGAAACTGTATTGTACTCAAGATACTACTATTTAGGTGGCCCCCTGCTACTGGTTCTGCTGACAAGCAGGTTGTACACATAGAAGCAAGCACTATTTTTCAGGGAGCTCTGATTTCTGCTGGCATAGCGTACCTTTTAAAGCTTTTTCTACTCACTTAAAAGGCTCTGAATGGGGCAGGGCTGAGGCCCTGCTAAAAGAACACTTAACTTGCTATGTAAGTAACTCACCTGCCTTCCAAGAAGTTTTCTTGTGTTTGATTTGCAGCCAGCTCAAGTGACCAGAACTTGAAGACCAGAATAGCTTCTGAGGGTCAAAAGGAGGATATCCTAGGAAGCTCAGGTGAATGGCATATTTTACTATAATTTGCTGCTGTGCACACTCACCACTGTGATTCTGCCTTATCTCCTAGTTCTTTGAACACATTGAAAGCATTTTGTCAGATTTTTTCTTTTTTTTTTTTTTTTTTTTTGGCTGAATTTGAATAATTTTCTCATGTTTACCCTCTTATTGCACTAATTCTGTCATCCTTTGTGATTAACCCCCATTAAATTATCCAGTGGATTTTTAATTTAAATTATTTATAGTTTTAGAGATTTTATTTAGTTTCTTTTAAAAATTTAGTCATCCTTTATAGTTGCCTTTTCATGGACTGTATTTTAAGATTAAAAAAAAATGTTTGTAATATGTTTACTCTGGGGACTGTATCTGATAATTACACTGAGTACTCATTAGTTGATTTTCTCAATCATTTCTTCTGGTTCTTGTTGGTGCTACCTTGTATTCTTGTTTTCAGTATGTCTATTTTCTATAGATTTTTAACTGTGGGAATCTACTGAGATCTTGAATAGGAGTGTTTTCTTCTAGAGATAGTTGATACTTACTTTTGTGAGTATAAGATCTCTAAATTATATTCTCAGTTTTAAGTCATTCACACTACCCACACAGTGTGAAATTGGGCTATAAACCCACAAGAGTGCCTGTTTGTGGTTCTAAAATCTCAATCACCTTATTCAACCAGTGCCCACTAGGTGGTTTCAAGGTTTCATTAGCTTTCTTGGAGCTTTCTGTAGAGTGAGTTATTCTGGCCCACCCTTTTCCTGAAGATGTTTGGAAAATAGGTTTCCTGTTTTGGACAGGTCTGGACTTTAGTTGCTTATTTCCATATATAGAGAAACATAATAATTGGAAAGTTCATGTTCAGTTTTGTGGGAAAATATCTCAGGAAAAAAATGTGCTTGTTTGGGTTCCTCTAATTCTTTGTTTCGAGAATATGTATGCTTCCATCTACCTGCCATATTGCTACATATGGAAATCTTAATCAAAACCACTAAGGGATACAGACTTCAGTTATCAGGTAAGTCCTTGGACCCAGGTGTTGGGTGTGATAACTGTTATTAACAGTACTGTATTATATGCTCAAATTTGCTGAGAGTAGGGAATAAGTGCTCTCCCCCCCCCCCCAGGAACTACTATATTACATAACTTAATGCCAGAAATAGGTTCTTTGAAATGTGCTGTTAGGTGACTTATGACTGTAAGAATGTCATAGAATATGATTGTAGAAACCTAGTTGTTGTAACCTATAGGGCATAGCTTATTGGAACCACCATCTCAATACACATGGTCCATTATTGACCAAAATTGTCTACATATGACTGCATATAATGTGACAGATACACTGACAAACTTTATTGTAACATTTTCAAAAAAATATCAAACCATCATATTATAAATGTTAAACATACACAATATTATGTCAGTAAAGCTAGGGAAGAGGATCCAAAACAAAAAAAAAACATCTCTTGTGAGCAAAAGGGGGTGTATATATATGTGATGAGGGGTGGGACTGACAGAGATATTGGAATACTATTTAAAGAAAGCATATAAAGAAAAATGAAACCAAGAAAACAATATACAATTGCATCCAAAAGAATTAAATATATAGGCATAAATCTAACAAAGGAGATGAAGGACTTTTACAATGTAAACTATGATACATTGTTAAAAGATAATAGGAGACACACAGAAATGGAAAGATTCTCTGCTCAAGCACCAGAAGAATTAACATTGCTAAAATGGCCATCTTACCCAAGACTCACCCACTCTCTCTCTATATCCAATGCAATCCCTGTCAAAGTTTCAGTCATTCTTCAAAGACACAGAACAAACATTACCAAATCTTATGTGGAGAACTATGGTAAGATACATCTGAATAGGTGTGATATCCTCTACCTATCAATTATACTTTTGTAAACCAGTATTACCGCAATAAAAAATAAAATAAGATAATGAGTTCAAAAAAGATGAATTGGGCCATATGGAGAAAATTTAGATGAAGATAAGTTAACAGATAATGAGATATTTTGAGGATGAACAATTAAAAGAATCTAAAATTAAATGTTACATAATCAAGAATGATTTTCTAAATTTCACTGGCTCAAATAGAGGGTGGAGGTGATATTTACTAGGTTGGATAATACTGGTAAATCCAAGTGTAGGAGTAGGAGAGCATGGTTATACACTTAAGCCTATTGCTTTTGCAGAATTAAATTATCTTTGAATTATGTATTGAATATCTTAGAATTTGAATTATCTTAGAAGACATGTTAAGAAAGTAGTTTTATGTATCACCCTGGAACTAAGATTAGGTTTTATATGCAGTCATATCCTTTGGGAGCCATGCAGTTGTCTATGATAGCATAACTGTTGTTATTATGATTGAAAAGTTAAGAAAAGTAATTTAGCATGTCCATTTTAAGGACAGAAAGTGCATTAATGACCTTTGTAATACCTATTTATGTAGAATGATATAGTGGAAACTGGGTAGAGTGCAAGAAAAGTGATGGACATTCATGAAATGGCTAGGGTTTGTCAAATAGTTGTCCAAAATGGGATTCTTTTTTTCCATGGTGTAGTGTGCTCATATTCTCACATTGTATTCATTTCACACATACAATTTGCTGTTTTGGCTGTTACTGATTGTTCTGGGATTGTTTTCTGCAATCAAATAAATGAATGTTTTATGCAAGGATCCTAGCAACATGAACTTTTTGGTATAGGCTGTATCAGTATTTTTGAACTTTGCCAATATACTGGCAGTTAACATTTGTAGTCTCTTAGATAACTGACTCTTGACAGTAGTTGCAGGCATATTTAAGAGAATTCCCTAGTAATCCAGTTAGGCCCAGTCCAGGATGAAGCAGGTGTTTATGGAGCATGGCCACTATTTATTTTCCTAGTACTAATTCCATTTTTTTTTTTTTTTGTAGCTGTTCTTCTTGCTCTTTAATGTAAATTTTAAAGTTGTAAGCGGTGTTACAAATGTCCATGAATCCTCAAGTTAATACAGGGAATGGCTCCAACTTGGATAATATTAATTCTAAACACAATTAGATCCTGTCTTAACTCTGATTATTTTGTGCCTGTCTAGTCTTATAAATTGCCTACATTTGTATCCAAAGTATTCTCTGAGGTTTATCTGTTATTATTTCTTAGAAATATTAACAACAGAATTTTATAATTACAATGTGACATTAAATCAAAATGAAAATGTATTATAGCATTGGCAAAAGGCCAGAAATAGCTTTATTCTAGGATGTTGCATATGGGCCACGTTGCATGTGCTGTTGTTAAGAATTTGACATTAAAGGAGATTCTCGATATTGTGTATCATTTTACATAAAGTCACCTTTAAAGAGGAAGTGTTTGAAAACTAAATTTTAACTTTTAATAGTTAGAGAAAAGTCCTAAATAAACCTTTCTACCCCATTCCTTTTCATCCGGTGAGCATTCGAGAGCTTAGCTCATTCACACATTATTCCAGAAATCTTTCCCTGAGCTCTTCAGATGGAGAAGGTGTCTCTTATTTTGTTGACATACCATCCTGATCACTTTTCACACTTAAACATTATGATTACCCATCTTTCTCTTGTGCTAATGAGCACTGCTGGAATGAATGGACCATTTTTATCCATTTGTGTAACTTCAGTGTTTAGCAGGCTGCGATCACAATATAGGAGCTAAAGTGGATCATGTTTCAGAAAGAGAAAAAAAAATATATATATATATTACAATATAGTGTATAGAATTTTCTAGAGAATCATTTCATCATGTACAAAACCTGAAAGGAATATTTCAGTTCTGGAAAAAGTTACCAGAAAAACCATACATGGGCCTATTTTAATTTGAGTCTTAATTGTTCCTTGCCCTGTTTCTCTGGGGCAGTGCAGTAAATTTATATGAAGCGGGGGTAGGGGTGGGGGTGGGTGGGGTGGGGTGTGTGTGTGTGTGTGTGTAAACAAAATGTTAGAGTTGGAAAAATTAGAGTATCTAGCCCTCAATTCCCTGTCATTTAATGAGTCTCTGTGTGTCCATTCCCATTCGAAGTGGACCAGTAATCAGATCAGTTTTCACTTCTCCCCATTTAATACCCGTTCACATTCTTCTGGTAACAGAATTCTATTGCTTTTAGGAGGCCACTCCTGTTCCTTTTTCAATGTCCTCATTCTTGAGAAGGGCAGAGGTTCCAGGTCCCTCAAGTGTTTTCTATAATTAGATCTTTGTGCCTCTTTTGTAACTATCTTGCAATAAAAAAATATATATGTGAATTTGGTTCTCTACTTCTTACTCAATTAAAATGTGAAGCTAGGAAAGAAGTAACTAGATCTCCATATTTACCATGCCCTCCCCTTACTGCTCTTTCTGCCCATGCTTTTCTAAACATGTGTTTACACTATAAATCTCAAATGGCAAGTGACTAAAAGATACTACAAAAATTAAAGGATAAATTTAAAGTCATGTTTGGGTCTTCAGATCTGATGAGTTCAATCTGATGAGTGTGATAGAATATATAAATATATAAAAATAGAGAAATTTGAAGTTCTGTCATCACCAGTGGTTCTAAGCTGTATAGATTATATGATTAATCAAAATTATGACCTATTTGCATAGAAATTTTACTTTTCCGGGCCTCCCTGGTGGCGCAGTGGTTGAGTGCTGGGTTGCGAAGCTGCCCGCAGCCTCTGCAGCGCCGGTTGAATCCCTGTCTGCTCCCCGGCCACCACAGGAGGGTCCCACATGGCGCGCAGACCTCTCCTGCCGCCCGCTGCTCCCCTCAGCAGTGTACTTCGGTCCTTCTGCCCGCTCTGCTCCCTGCTCTGGCTCTGGTGAATTCTCTCATCCTCCCGTGCTTCTGACTGTACCCAGTGCTTGTATAAATAAATAAATCTATCTTTAAAAAAAAAAAGAAATTTTACTTTTCCAATTATCAAATATTCAAATGGCTGAATTATGCTAATTTAGTTTAAGAATACCCTGTTGATGTATAGAATTATAGAGAA